TAAATAAAGTCCAAATCACATTTGGGTCAGTCTATTAAGTTGACAAGACTAGCCCAACTCATGTTCTTCAAGCCTAAGAACCAAAATTGCTTGGACAAAAATACCCCTAAAACCCTAGCTTCAAGCCTATATAAAGAGGTCTTCATAAGACCAGAAGGAAGAAAACAAGAAGACACATAGAAATACATGGAGAATCCTTGCTCTTCAGTGGTTATCTGCAAGTCTTCCGCAAGTACAAAGAAGTCTTCGCTCCAAAAGTTGAACCGCAAGTATTCCATTAAATCAAGAACATCATTGAAGAGAAGAATCAGTGGATTACATATCTATCCTCTATCCGGATAGATATGTCCCTATGAGCGACTACGCCGATCTTTATATGTTTTGGCCACGTCCTTTTCTTAAAGATTTTATAAAGATTGTAACCTTCGCATAAATTCAAATACAAATATTGTTGTTTGCTTGCTATTTTCCTTTCCTGTTTGCTGTATTTCAGGATTGAAACTTTAGACGCTTACAAATTGGCACGCCCAGTGGGACAATCTTTACCTCTCATCTCTTCTCTTCAAGAAATTCAAAGTTCAAAAACGCCGAGATGACTTTTAACAAGATCAATTCAAAATCTGCATCTGCATCTAAATCTGAATTTGCATCCGTATCCGCATTTACATCTGCATCCGCAAAAACTGATGGATCCAAATTCTTCATTGCCGAGGAAAACATCCTTGATATTACTACAGGAAGCATGAGACCTGACACAAGGAACCAAGCCAAATTGCTACGACTACAAGCCTCCCGAGTGCCGTCCAAATCTGCTATTGTCTTTGGTTCATCTCCAAAAGGTGTAAAGTCCCCTGCAAAAGCCGACAAAAAAAAGACATTGCCGAAATGTTGAGAGGGTTCTTGCCCAATTGAACCTATCCACATCTAAAAAACCATCCACTTCAATCGACAATGATGACTTAAGCACTGAATCTACTCCGCATAACATATTTGGATCTCATGTTATGGAAAATCAACGTTATTCTCCATCATCTACAATGGTGATGCAAGCGATGGTGATCGAAACTTCCACTATAGAAGAAAAACTTGCAAATTTTACGAAAGCAGTTGAAGGCCTATCAATGTACATCAAAGGTCAAGACATCCAAATTACCAAGTTGACAAACATGATGGAGAATATGGAG